AAAAAAATCAAGAGGCAAATGACCCACACTGGTGAGGAAAGAGAGAAAAGGGAAGCTCCTAGAGTGTGGGTGGGAATATCACTTCATGCCCTAGGAAATGAAAGAACTGATTAGAAACAGACCCAGTCCAGTAAATCCATTTCAGTGTTTACCTTGCAGTCCAGCAAATCCATTTCAGATTTTACCTAGCAGTCCAGTAAATCCATGTCAGGGTTTACCTAGCAGTCCAGTAAATCCATTTCAGAGTTTTTTTAGCAGTCCAGTAAATCCATGTCAGAGTTTCACTAGCAGTCCAGCAAATCCATTTCAGAGTTTACATAGCAGTCCAGCAAATCCATTTCAGATTTTACATAGCAAAGACAGAGCCAGGATGGGAAAGATGTTTTCGTCACCCCAGGGAAAAACCTCACCACCCCAATAGCCAGGGGGCTACAGCAACCCTGAAGTCCTAAAAGGGGGGTTCTAAAGCAATGGTGGGATGCTTTGATTCAATGGGGGTGATAATCAGCCCCGAAGCAATCTGACCACCAGCAGAAACTACGTCTGAAAAGCCAGAGAACTGTGACAAAAGAGGCTGAAAAAGGACATCAAGCTCTGTCGCAGGAGCCTTTAGAGTCCTCCTGTTCAACGAGGAAGATGATGTCCCGGTCTGCAGGGGAAGAAAGGGGAGATTTTGATAGTTTGTCCCGAGGAACGGACTTCTAGAGCCCTGTGAGAGAAGGCATAAAAATACCTGGCTCTGCAGACTCTAAAGCATCAGAACAGTTTCATTCCAACACGGTTTTCATTTATCTACGTCACTCCCCGGTTGAAAATGGAGAGAGTGTCAGGCTCAGTAAGCACACCTGTTTCCGGTCACCATCACAAACAACTATCCCCCTCTCTGGTCATGGGGGAGAAGCTACCCCTGGTTTGGAAAGTAATGGGGACAACAGGGACAAGAAGGGGTAAAGGCCAGGTCAACATAAACAGTAGCCCCTGGAGGTCCGGGATCCTCCTGGAGCCAGCACCTACCTTGTAAGTACATCCGGGTACTGGGTTTCTTGGAAAACAGTCTCCATTTCCCGCACCTGCCAGTGTGTGAAGTGGAACTGATTGCGGGGCCTGCTGGGCCGTCTCCTTCGAACCTCAGGCATCTCCAGGGCTGGCTCATCTGGGTCCACCTCCATGGGCTCCTGGTTGTTGAGGTCATCTTCTGGATCCAGGTTTTCGTAAGGGCTCACGTGCCCCCCCTGGGCCTGGTTGTTTTCAAGGTTCTCACTGTGGTCCAGGCTCAGGGCTCCTTCACAGAAGCTGCCCCCCACTTCAGCTGCTGCCCCCTGTTCAGGGCGGGGGCTGCTGTCCTCTCCATAGTCGTCCATGTGAGAGTAGAAGTGGTCACTGTAATCGTGGTGGTGCGCCATGCCTGCTGCTCTATGGAAGCCTAGATACCTGCCCCTTGCTGGAGCCTTTGGCAGCAGGCTTGCCCTGGGGCCTTTCAGCAGGTTGGGGCTACACAGGCTCAGGTGCTCCTCCTGCAAGACCACTATTGGCTTTGTAGCTGAATCCTACCCCAGTGGGTGTGCCTGTGTGGTGAGAATGGGCTAGGTTGTGGCCCCAAGGAAGGGGTAGGGAGAGAGAGGGTGTACGCAGAAGCTGAATTTTATCCCTAGGTGATCAGCTTTGATCTGGCCACCATCCCTGGCCACTGCTCAGAGACCCCACAGAAGACCAGGGCAACGGGGCTACTGGAGATTGCAGGCTGATTTTAGCATGGTGAGTGGGGAAGAAGGAAAAACTTACAATGAGCCCCTGAGAGTAGTGGCTCTGGTATTGGTGAGTCCAAATACCCAAGCGAAGTCACTAGAAACACAGCCTGGTGCCTTCAGGAGGGAGTTCTATGCGAATCTTGGATAGCTGAGTGAAGGGTTGTTGCAGAATTTCCTCAGTGAACAGCACCAAGTCTTTTCTTGTAAATTATCAAGAGAGCTCTATCCCGTAGACACAGATCCCGGCCATTCACATGTAGTTGGTGGGTGGAGACTGGGAACCCTTCGGAATACATGCTTACCCAGAGCCCCACAATCACTGCCCATATTTGGTAAAGGCGCACTCTCACAGAGCCACTTGACCTGGTCCCTTGCACAGCACCTCGAGCTACAGAAGAAAGGCGCCACATCTAGTTGATGGGCAGGCCAGTGAGAACCTGAGGCAGGCATGTCGTCACCTAGGACATGTCTCAACAGGCTCTGGCCCTGCTGCTGGATACACGTGTGTGGCAATTTCCTCCAAGATAAGAATTCCATGTGGGAGGAAGCCTCCTGGAGACTTTAGACATCCCAGATGGAGGTGAAACAGTTCATAATCCAGGAGAGATGCTTAAGACACAAGGAGTAAAAGGTTAGGGAGCTTCAGCCAGGCTCAGTAGGGGTTTGTTCACATTTCCTCGTGTCTCCCCGGGAAGCGTGTCTACAGCACATCTCAGTGGCACACTGCGGACTCTAGGACGAGAATCCAAAGTGGGCTGAGGCAGAAGCCGCCATCTGTAGGTTCAGTTCAGGGAGCATGAGTCCCTGCTGAAATGCCACTGGGTGTGGCAGCCAGGCACTGGAGCAGGTCAGCAGAAGATACCTGGTACCTGGGCCATTGGTGGCAAGCGCCCGAATGAAACTCAAGAAAATAATCTTTTGCTGGAACATCCATTGTGGGGCCCAGGTCCTCAGTGGATCCCCCTCGTCTCTCTGTCTCTTTCTGTCTTCCTCTGTCTGTCTCTATGTGTCTCTCTCATTTCGTCTGTCTGTCTCTGTGTCTCTGTCTCTGTCTCTGTCTCTGTCTCTCTCTCTTTCTCTCTCTCTGCTTTTCCAGGTGTGGTCCCCACCATGGGTTCTTGCTGATTATCCCAAGATAAAAATGATTGCAAAATACCATCCAGAGGTCAGTTAGGAGAAGAGCCCCTGGTGGTCTTTGCAGCTGCCACAGTGGGGTGACAGGGTGGGGGAGGGGTCAGGAAGGAGGAGAACTCCTCCCTGGTGTAGGAACTCTTCTTCCTATGGAGAAACAGTTGAAGTTGGAAGGAGCTGGGAGCTCGGGCTCCCCGGAGACAGTATGAAGGCCCCTGGAAACCCCCTCTTCCAGTCCTCCCTTCAAAGGCTGACAATGATTTCAGTTCATTCCAATTCCCCAGGCACTATAGGATAAGCATGGAGCAAAATGAGCCCTGCACAGCCTGGGGGCAGGGGCTGTGCTCTGGCTTCATTCCTCCTTCTAGAGTCCCTGCCCCCTCTTCCTGACCAAAGACAAACAGGGAATCCAAGACTGCTGTGCCTGCTGCCCTCTTTGGACAGCAGCACCGTGGCCATCATGTCCCCTGGACATCTCAGACCGGAGTCCATTTGCGGTAGGTGATGGTCAGTAGCTGCTCACCCAGTTGGTCAAGGTGCGGCAGCCCGAAAGACATTGGGGAGCAGGCAGGTCTAAATGTGGTATCTCTATCCTACCCCTTTGTCACAGGCACAGGGAAGTGAGGAAGACTGCTAGAATAGTCTTAGAGCCAGGGCCAGTGTCTACCTGTGCCGAAATAGTATTTCCTAGGTGTGAAATGGGGAGACCTCAGGTTTAGGGCAGTGGGCCCGTCCCTAGTGTACCTCATACCTGCCACTACAGGAAGGGCTCTCAGATCTTCTCAGTGGGAGGCATCTTAGAGACCCAAAAGCAACAGAGCACAAATCTGCAGCAGAAGAGGTCCCTGGAGCACTCAAAGGAACAGAGAGAAAACAAACCAGGGTGTGCAATGGCAGGAGACCAGGCATTGGGACCCGCCATGCAGCAAGTTTGGATTAGTAGCCTAGGCCATACTTCTGCATGTCCCTAAGAGGAACTTGGTTTATTTGTACCTGCGGGTTCACATAGGGAAAGAAGCTGTGCTCCTTCCTCATGTGCTAGGGGTTCAACATTATTTTCTAATATCATAGGGCTGTGAGGAAGGAAAGACCCCCAAATCTTGAGTACTGAGGGTTCTCTGAGGCAGGTGACAAAATGCAGAAGACACTAAGGTCAAGTCTCTGAGCAGGCCACGCTGGGAGCATATTCTCCCTGAACCGGAATGCAAGGAGGGAGACAGAATCCCCCCTCTGCCTGGGCGGATCGCTTCGCCTCTCTCTCAAGCAGCAGGACTCTGGGCAGTGTGCCTCCTCCTCCTATTGCCCTGAAGGCCCACAGAGGGGGAGCGAAAGCTCACAGGGTGTTCCCATTCCTTCTGCCACCAACCTGGGAGATGGCTCTGAGAAGTTTCCAACAACAGAGCCCAAGCTGGGACTTACTGAAGTGTGGGTGGTAACAACCGTGTCTAGAAACACACTGTCCTGCTTTGGGGACTTGCCCTTTCTGCCCTTATAAAGAACTTGTCCCACAGAGATAGAGCGAATTGACAAGTCCATGAAGGGGGGGGGAGAGAACCACGTGGGGTCAGCAGGAAGCAGCCTGGCCCCTAGAAGTCCTCCTCCCTTTGCAAGGCAGAGTGATTGCTGCTTGCCCACGTCACCCCGATTTAAATTCCATTTCCAGAATTTAAACTACCATCTTTCAAATACTTATACCCACAGTTTGGTAACCTGGGAAAATAATGGAGCCAACGGACTGAGAATACACCTCTTTATTGCTGAAATCAATGCAGGGAAGGAAAGGGTGTCATGGCCATCAGGGGTGGCCGACACGTTAGGGGCAGGGTAGGCTGCAGGACATCTTCCTCCAGGACAGGGATGGCACTCAGCGCTGCTCCGGCATCTTCAGGCATCGTTGTTCTCGGTAGCAGGGGGTGTGTTGCACAGCACCAGCAGTCTAGTGTTCCTCCGGTGAAGGGCTCTCCTGTTCCTAAACCAATCCTGCAGCCAGAAGAGAGCCTTGTTTCAGTACACTGGCTTTACCACGGCTGAAGAACACATGCTGTAACTTCGTACACTGGCTCAACTTGGCTAACACGGTAGGACATATTTGGGAACCCATCCCGGGCCTGGTGTATGCTAGGGGTGTCTCTGGCACTCAGCTATTCCCTCAGCAAAGCACCAAATCTTTGACTGCCTAGAAACTTCATGTTTATTATGTAGCCCCAAGAAGGGTTGAAGAGGTACCTCAAGTGTATACTGACTGTTCAGAATGCTGGAAGCAACAGGTTCATTCTCACTGAAACACTAAGAACACCCCCTGAGTAGCCCCTGGGGACGTGTAAGCCACACCCAGTCCTTCAACTGGGGAACAGACCCGGAATATTGCCTCTTCTCCCCATCCAATGGTACCTTTTGGTTGCAGGCCTACCCTTTAAAGACCTACCTCTCGCTCCAGCCCACATCAATTGGTATTTTTAATGCATTCTTTCAGGAAGAATGCATAATCTAGCTCATGGTTTCTTGCTGGTCCCTGCGGTATCAAAAATTATTAAGAAGATTTCTCTTGGGCTCCTGAGGATCCATAAAGGCCTGAGGCAATAGTCTGTCCAAGTTTCCACCATGCTAGCATTGGTTAGTATCCAGAATGCAGCTTTAATGAGACAAAGGGCACTTCTTCCGGCTCTGCTTCCTTCTTAGCCTCCCAGCACAGTGACTACAGGCCTTTTCCCTCGTGGGCATGTGGTCTGGAAAAGCCAGGGGTGCCTGGAATGCTGCTCAGAGTGCAACACATCACCAGCAAAGGGAGGCAAAGGTGCTAAGAGCAGTTGGAGGTCCCTGGGCCCTGTACTGGTTCAGAACTAAGCTAGATATCTGCCATTACAGACTAGGGCGGGGTGAAGTCTGAGAAAAGTTTTTCTGAGACATGCAGCGTGACAGCCGAAGGTGGACAAGAACGTGCTTTCTTCACTTGGGTGAGGCATGCGGGCTGCAGTCCCAAGAACACCATGGAGAACACGGTCTGTCCACCACGTGGCATACAAAGCACCTTGGTGTCTCCAGCTCGGCATGTCCTACCTGAGAAAATGGAGGTCTGGTGTCTTCCTGAACCTAGCCTGCCTGTGTACTGCTCTGGCATCCCTGGGATGCCATTTCAGGGTCCCACTCCGCCCCTACGCCTGTCTTCTAGGCAGAAGCATCACAAGACAGGAAGTCCTTCCAAAATTATTCTTTAGAATACTGACCTGCACATCGGCTTCTGACACACCCAGCCATCTTGCAAGATCCTTCCTGAAGTGAAAAGATTCCAACATTTAGGCTTTGTGTTAGAAATGAAGGATCGGCGGACATGAACCATGTGCTTTTGAAGCATTTACATCCACACTTGTGTGCGTGCACATGTGTACACACACACACACACACACACATATATCCACACTATTCCTCATACTTTCTTTGAGACTAGCTTTAGCAACAACTTTCCTACAGGGACCAAAATTAAGGGTAATCCCCCAAACACAGGTACCTAGTCAATGTGCTTAGAATAGAAAACTTAAGGCAGAGCCTCCACGATGAAAAGTCTTAGCAAAATTTTAATCTGAGGTGGGATCCGTCCCACACATCTTCCCAGCCACACCTCCGGCTTCTTTCTCATATTTAAAGACGCATTTAGAACAAGCATTGTTTAAATTTCCCACTCACGTGTCCCTTAAATGGGTAAAAAGCACATTCATTCCCAGCGGGAATAGGACCCATCCCCCTACTCCAGAAACTAATTTCTCACAGAGGATGGGAGGATCGGGACAGGGTGGTTCTATTTCTTGAGGAAAGCAAGGATCCAGGGAGCTCCAAAGGAAAGCCTGGGCTAGGACACACTGCCGAAAATCCAGCCGCCTAGCAGG